CTGTCGGGTTGGTTGAAAATTTTGACATCATAACTCCTGTAGAAGACGAACCCGTATGTTCAGGCGGAACTGAAGAGGGTCCTTGCTTCTTTTTCTTCTACAGAGATTTCGTTACTCAACTCGGACTCTTATTTCCCTTGACCGAGTTTCAAATAGAAATACTCAATCATCTTCACATATGCCCTACACAACTCCATCCCAACGGGTGGGGTTTTGTTAAGGCTTTTGAGCGATTTTGTGCATATCTTGTTCTTCATCCTTCCGTTATGGTTTTCTTTTTCTTCTTTCAAGTTATCTCTTATCGAACTGGTCGCGAACCTCCAGAACTGAAAGGTTGGATTACTGTCAGAGGTGCCCCTGGCCGTAGACTCTTTAAGGTCTACACGGAGTCTTTTAAAGGTTTTAAAAACAAGTTCTTTAAGGTTTGCGCGCATCCCGGTAAGGAGGTATGGTTTCTCCAAAACTATGGCACGAAGGATGTAGAGGGAAAATTTCCCTTATCCTGGTCATCCGATCATTTCCAATTTTCTCCTTCCAGCTACCGCTTTAAAGAATCTCAGTTAGACTCCAATGATATTAATACCGTGATCGCATCGGTACATATCTTCAGATGCATCAGCATGCTAGCGTTGCGTCTCTCATTTATAAGTCTCAAGAGGAGCTTGATGCCGAATTAAGTATGTATGATTTCTATATTGAAGTGCTTTATATTGCGCTTAACAACTGATTTCATTATTTTGTTTTGCAGTTCCCCAAATGGAAAAGCAACCAAACACTCTTCCGAGCTGGTTGGCTGCATTGACCACGGGAAGGAAAGAGTCTCCCTCCGGGTTGTCGCAGAAGGATACTTCCCCCGGATTGGGGAAAAAGAGGAAGTTGTCAGAGCTGAATCCGCAAAAGGATGCTATCAACAAAACAAAAGCCAAGGTGACAGAAAAAGGGCAAGTTAGGAACAAAGGCAAGGAGATCCCCGCCGAATATGTTCCTCCCTCTTCTCCTCGGCAAGTGATGAAAGCTCCTCCTCCATCCTCATGTTCCGGTTTGGCCAAGCATGTCGTATGGCAGTCCGGATTGTCAGATGCTATTCGGGAGGCGGTTTATCCGCCTGAGTCGTTCTCCAGTGCAAACCCCTTCACGACTGAAGAAACTAAGGTGCTGGATGATCTGGAGCTCGGCGGTCTGAAGTTGTCCGGGTTGACGAGGTCATTACGTTCATTGAAGCAAAAGTATCTTCATTCTCTTGAAGAGGCTGCTGCCTCTCGGGAAGGAAAAGCAAAGGTTGTCGCCGAGCTGCTTAAGGTAACAAAAGACTTTTCCTCGATGAAGGAAAAGTACACCAAAAGCTCGTCTGATCTAGGCAAAGCGCAAGAGTCCCTGGCACAGCTTCGTAGTGACCATGACAAACTCCAATATCTTCACGCCAGCAATAGCAAGATGTTGAGTGATTTCAAAATCACTTATGAAAAGGCGGAGCAGGAGGTGAAGGCAGCTCAGGACGCGTTGAAGGAAACTAAGGTCCAGTTGAGGGAGGCGCAGGACGAAGCCAAACTCTACCGGGGTGAACTTGAAAAGTCCGTCACTGGTTCCTTTTACAACGCACTAAGCCAGCTGCAAGTTCTGAACCCGGATTTGCTTTTGAATTTGGTTGGCTTAAGCCCTCGTGCCTACGTTGTTGATGGTCGGATCATTTTTCCCGACATTACCTCTCCTTCCCATGTTTCGGCTTCACAATCCGGAAAAGCTGCTGCCGTCGAGGATGGTGACGAGGCCACCACCCAACCCGCGAAGGAAGGCGAGTTGATGAATCAGTCTGGCAAGGAGGTTGTGGTGCTGAAAGATCCCCCCGTCAACTCGGAAAAATGAAGGGTCGGAATGCCGGTTGGATTTTGTAACTTGTTGGGGTCCTTTGGGCCCCTTTTTGATTTAGCTTGAATATTGCCGGTTTTATCCCGGTTCTAATTTTGTTTTCTAGACATACAATTTCGCTTTGAATATCCTGCTTTATGGTATGTCGTTTTGCATCTCCTAATTCCGAATTCACCGTAGATGCATTTATCTAGGTTATCGATTTGTCAGAATTCAGCATGTCGTTGCAGTAATGCTTTTGCTTTTTTGATTAGGCAAATCTTTTTTGCTTTGTCGAAGGATATGACTTAACCATTTTTGGCATATGCATAAGCCCCTTTACGAGGTAGCATTCCTCTTCATACCCGGATTGGCCCTAAGCTTTAGGAATTCCTAAGTTGCTCAGATTCAAATCCGATTTATTTAGATATATTTCACCCTCGCACCTGATGAGTGATATACCGAGTTTGCATTATTTTTCAATACTTATTGGGTGAAATCTTCATCCCAATTTGTTTTTATGAACTCGTGCATCATACGAGTTTTTAATTCATGACCTGGCCGAGGTCAAAGCATTAGACGGATTTCGCTTTATGTCAATTCGATGACGCATGTTTGTTTAACTTACTCATCCTGGTAAGCTTGCATATGTAATGGACCTTGTCTTTTGACTTAGCCATTTAATTGAATTTGAATTTCATAACTCAATTTATCTAAGGTAAAAACAATAATGCCATCTGCCCCTTTTTGGTATCATGACCAAAATAGAGACATTTTGACTAGATCAGAGTCACTATGGAAAATTGTATTCGTACCTCGGATTTGATATTGATATATCAAAGATAGACAAGGATAAATCTTTTAAAAAGAAAAATTCCTCATTTATTGATATCAAATTGCGAATTACATGGATTTTCCGGCATATTCGACTTTAGTCAAATCCCTAGTAGAGGAAAGAACTTAAATCAAAATGCAATTTAGAAATATTGAAGCGGAGGAGTGCAGATTTAGCTGTAGTATGTCTTCAGCTTATCTGCATTCCAGGTCCGCTTAACTTCTTTGCCTTCGACTGTCTCCAAGATGTAAGCTCATTTTCCGAGTTTTTCTCTAACTCGGTAAGGTCCTTCCCAATTTGCAGCTAGCTTTCCATCTCTGGCATTCTTGTTGCCAATATCTGCTCTCCTGAGTACCAAGTCATTCTTTTCAAAATTTCTTGGTCTCACTTTCTTATTATACTTTGCTGCGGTCTGTTGTTTGGCCATCATATTCCAGCAGTGAGCTGTGACCCTAGCTTCTTCCACAAGGTCTAGTTCTTCAGTAAGCATTCTACTGTTCTGTTGTTCACCTTGTTCAAGACTATTCAGTCTTCTCCAGGAAGGTTCTCCAATCTCTACCGGAATCATGGCTTCACATCCATACGTTAGTCTGTAAGGGGTTTCTCCAGTTGCAGTTTAGGTGCTTGTTCTGTAACCCCACACGACAAAGTATAGCTGGTGAACCCAGCTTTCTTTTGCAGCAAACATTCATTTTTTGAGACCTTCCACAATCACTTTGTTGGCAGCTTCGGCTTGCCTATTCGATTGTGGGTGTTCCACAGATGCAAAACGATGTATGACGTGTAGGTCTTTCATTAGCTGTTGGAATTTCTTATCAGCAAACTGCGTTCTGTTATCAGTAACCACCTCGGCTGGGATTCCGAATCTCAAAACAATATTTCGTTCAAAGAACCTTTGCACTCTAGCCGAGGTGATTGTGGTAACTGGTTCTGCTTCTATCCACTTTGTGAAGTAATCCACAGCCACGATCAACCACTTGAGTTGCCCTTCACCAGCTTTAAAAGGTCCTAGCAAATCCATTCCCCATTTGAAAAAGGGCCATGGGGCCGAGATGCATTTCAATTCTTCAGGTGGTGAAAGGATTAACTTGGCATGCTTCTGACAGCTATCACATTTCTTGACATGTTCTTTAGAATCTGCCCCCATTGTCGGCCAGTAATAACCAGCTCTGAGGGCCTTTCTGGCCAAGGCTTTGCCACCCATGTGATGTCTGTTTATTCCTTCATGGATCTCGGCGAGGACGTACTCTGCTCCTTCCGAGGTCAAGCATTTTAGCATGGGGTTATGCAAACCCTTTCTAAATAGCTGGTCATTAACGATCACATATTGTGTCGCATCTCGGACCAGCTTCCTAGCTTCCAGGCGATCCTCTGGCAGTATCCCTTTCTCCAGATAATCGACCAGAGGTTTCCTCCAGTCATTTACGGAGGTTATCACCATCACGCAACTCGGCGTTATTATACTTTGCTGAACCACGGTTCTGTGATTACCCGAATTTTTGGTACTGGCTAACTTCGACAAGATGTCAGCTCGGCTATTCTCCCCTCGTGGGATGTGAGCAACCCGAACCTCATCAAAGTCGGCCATAATTTCCTGAACTCGACTCAGGTACTTCATCAGTATAGGACCTTTGGCTTGGTACTTTCCTTCTATCTGCGAGGTTACCAGCTGTGAGTCGCTAAAGATTTGCACTTTCCTAGCTCCGTGTTCTTTACCCTGGATCAATCCAGCTATTAGAGCTTCGTATTCAGCTTGATTATTTGAAGTTGGGAATCCCAAGTTCAGAGAATGCTCAATGGTTACTCCTTCTGGGCTTTCTAATATGATTCCAGCCCCACTTCCTTTATTGTTGGAAGATCCGTCTACGTAGACCTTCCATGCATCGCCGGGTTCCTCGTGATCCGAGTTCGGTGGTGTTAATTCCATTATGAAGTCAGCTAAGGCTTGTGCTTTGATTGCTTTCTGGCTTTCATACGTTATGTCATATTCACTGAGTTCTATTGCCCAGTTAGTCATTCTTCCTGCCAGGTCCGGCTTGTGCAACACCTGCCGAATAGGCTGGTTATTCCTGCCGATTATTTGATGGCCTTGGAAATACGGCCGCAACCTTCTAGCCGTGACCAGCAAAGCAAAAGCCACCTACTCTAGCTTTTGATACCTGACCTCTGCACCTTGTAAGGCTCTACTAACAAAGTAAATTGGCTCCTGGCCTTCGTTAGTTTCCTTGATCAGTACAACGCTTATTGCTTCCTCCCCTACTGCCAAATACAGAATTAGAACATCTCCTGGGTTTGGCTTTGAGAGGATCGATGGAGTTGATAAACATTTCTTTATTTTTTCAAACGCGGCTTCACATGCCGGGTTCCATCCGTCAGTTGCTTCTTTCTTTAAAAGTTTAAAGAGTGGGAGAGCATTTTCAGCCGATTTTGGAAGAAACCGGGTTAGCGCAGCTAATCGTCCGGTCAGCTGTTGGACCTCCTTTTTGCTTTGGGGTGCTTTCATGTCAAGCACCGCCTTGCATTTATCCGGGTTCGCCTCAATTCCTCTGTGGGTTAGCATGAAACCCAGAAATTTTCCAGCTGCTACCCCGAACACGCACTTTACCGGGTTGAGGCGGATGCGATACTTCCTGAGCTTCTGAAACGTTTGCTCAAGATCCTGAACATGATTCATCATATCAAATGACTTCACAAACATATCATCTATGTATACTTCTACATTTTTGCCCAGCTGATCTTCAAAGACCTTATTCATCATCCTCTGGTAAGTTGCCCCTGAGTTTTTAAATCCAAATGCCATCACATTGTAGCAATAGTTGGCCTTTTCAGCAATAAAGGCCGTTTTTTCTTGATCTGCCGGGTACATTGGGATCTGGTTGTATCCCGAACAGGCATCCATGAAAGACAACAGACGAAATCCAGCCGAGTTATCTTCCAGTTGATCTATGTTAGGCATAGGATAAGCATCCTTTGGGCAAACTTTGTTTAAATCTGTGTAATCAACATAGATTCTCCATTTCCCATTTGTTTTTTCACCATCACCACATTGGGAAGCAATGTCGTGTACTGTATCTCCCGAATGAACCCGGCATCCAAGAGTTCTTTAACGTGTTCTTGTAGAACTTGTTTCCTTTCAGGTCCCAGTTTTCTTTTCTTCTGAGAAACTGGCGTGGACCCCGGATAAGCTGCCAATTTGTGACAACAAAATGCGGGGTCGATGCCAGGGATCTCTGATGACTTCCATGCAAATATATCCGTGTTGATTTTAAGAAAGTCAGCCAAAATTTGCTTAATTTGGGGGTCTATGGTTTTACCAATGCGGGTATATTGACCAGGCTCTTTCCCCAGCGTGAGATCTTCAAGCTCTCTATCAGGTTTGGGTCTCGGCATTATTTCTTCTCTCATGTCGAGTTCAACCATGTTGACCGGCTTCTTAGATTGCTGAGGAGTTACATTCCTACCGGTTTTATCCCCCGAGTGAATTCGGGGTGGGCTCAAATGTCCCCCTTCATTTTCTTTGATAGTATCAAAGTAGCAGCCCCTGGATTCCTTCTGATCTCCACAAACAGTGATTATTTCATTCTTATTTCTCACCATTTTTATCTTCTGGTGTTTTGTAGAAACCAGCATGTCCCACTGATGTATGGTAGGTCTTCCCAGGATATTCTGAAGGGAAATCGGCCACTATGAACCTAACCCGTTCTGATCTGAACGCTTCCTTTGCTCCCAAGGTTAATCTGAGATCAATGTAGCCTTTAGGAGGTGTATGCTCTCCATTAAAGGCTACCAGTGTCGTTTTGCAAGGTTTGAGGTCCTCTTCATCCAGGTTCATCTTTTTAAAAGCATCCCAGAGTATGATATCGGCACAACTCCCTACATCCACGAAAATCTTCCGAACCCGGCAATTCACTAGGGTCCCAGCAATGACCAGTCTGTCAACATGACCCGGCAGCACGCCGCGCATGTCCTCTTTGGTAAAGTATAAAAGAGGAGGGTCTGGCTTGGTTGGGTCTTCTTTGAACTTGGGACGATCTCGAATAGAGAGTACCTCTTTCAGGTATTTTCTTCTAGCACTTACAGTATCTCCTCCTCCCCCCCCAAGGCTCCACTAATTACATTACAATCAAACATCACTTCTGGGAATTCGTCATAAATGGGATCATTTTTCTGATTCCTATCCTGTTTGTTCTTCTTTTCAGGAACTGGACTTTTGCTCTGATTCCTGTTTCCCAACTTCCTTTTGTTGTTTCTGGAACCTTGGGTTTTTATCACATATTGACGTAGCCTTCCATCTCGAACAAACTTCTCCACCGCATCTCAGAGATCCCAGCATTGATCAGTAGTATGCCCCGGTCCGTCATGGAAAGCACAATATTTGGACTTGTCCAAACCCTCTTTGTCCAAACTTCTTCCCCTCTGTCGAATATAGGTCGGGGTCTCTCCATCTTCTTCATCTCCGTGAGTGCCACTTCCCTCCAGATTTGCGAGCGCGACGCATTCAAAGGTGTATACTTGTCATATCTCCCAACGCGGTCCCTCATGTCTGGGATTCGTGGGCGTTGATCTTTCTTCTTATTGTCGATTCGTTCCTTTCCCTTTCGGGCCGGGGTCCTCCTTCTCGGGCTACCCCTTTTGCCCTCATCAGACTGCGCATTTGCAATCTCCATTTGCTCTAGTTCGAGATATTTCTTCGAACGAGTTCTGAATTCCTCCAACATCCTTACTGGGTCTTTATAGACCTACTTGGATAGTCTGGATGCACCATCCAAACCCGCCACAATGAGGTGAACATGGACATTCTCTTGCAGCCCTGGGACCTGCAATCCAGCATCCTTGAACCGATTAAGATATTTCTAGAGGGTTTCTCCAAGTTGCTGTCGTATCTTTTCGAGAGCGAACTCGGACTTCGGATGCTTTTTGCTAGTTGCAAAGTTCAAGAGGAACTTCTGTCCGAATTCTTCAAATGTCCTGATGGAGTTAGCAGGAAGGGTTGAAAACCATACCTGCGCTGCTCCAGTCAGTGTTATGGCAAATATCCGAGATATGAGAGGTTCATCAATTCCTCGGATGTACATATCCATGTCGAAAGCATCTATATGGACCTGTGGATCCTGGCTCCCATCGTACTTTGGCAGACGTGCCGAGTTAAAATCCTCCGGGAAGACAGCGTTTAGTATTTCACCAGTAAAGGGGCTATTGTTGTACTTCGTCCTATACCCGCCGAGTTCTACTCGCCCTCGGATGTTCTGAGGATTCTGTTGAGGCTGAGTTCTAACTCGGTCCTCCTGACCGTCAGCATGTGCCTGATGGTTTTGAGCGTCTTGGCCATCAGCGACCTGGTTTCCTTGGTTCGGGTTCACCGCATTCGCAGGGTTCTCTGCATGAGGAACTTGGTTTGGCTGAACCGAGTTCCGTGGTCCTCTCGGCCATTGGCAGGTTGGCCTTCCACATTGGCTGTTCCTGGTCCAGTCAGTCGCGTTAATCGCTGCTCGAGGTCTTGCATCTACTTGTTATTTTCCTCCCGTATGACCCTGAAATCCTGTTGTCGCTGTAAGTTATTACGGGTCTCCAGCGCTGCTATTCGTTCCATGATTACAGCAAACGCATTGTTGGCCAACCGAGTATCTGGATCAGCCGATTGAGTAATGCGTGCAACCAGATCTCCAGGATGTTGGGCAGAATTGTTTCTTATTGGAGCTACGTTCGCCCCAGCCCCCCTATCTCGACGCGCCGGTGTCGAAGTAGTGTCTGAGACATCGTCTTCTACCTGGACGTGGTCGTCATCTATGTTGTTTCCAATCTGGTTCTGAGGCTAATTTGTCTCCTCCAGGACTGGATCCAATGGTTGATTCCGGTTCGGGGGTGGTTGCTGGCTACTGCTCCTCGTCTGGATTGCCATCCCTTGTCAGATTTGGTGGGAACTTCAAATTCAAAGAAGAATTTCCCCACAGACGGCGCCAATGTTCTGTCCGTGAGACAGAGATGTCTAGCCCAATAGGCTAGTACGTTAATATTGGATCTAGTGCCCTCTCCAAGGTATCTATAGAGGAGATACCCTTGAGTCAAGCAGATCACTGTGCACAGAATACTATAACGGCGTTAGCCAATGGGGTGTGTGTGTGCGCACAGTGACAGCATAACAGTAAGAGAGAGCGTGCGTACCTTTAGGGTTTACCTTTGTATTTATAGAGGTTACTTGTAGGTAGTGTGGATGGGCCTTTGGTTCCTATGGTGAGGGTCCAGGCTTGATAGCTATGCTGTCGCATTAGGATTAGTATCCTTGATGAATATCTATCCTTTATTAGCATCAATCCATATCTTGGATTGCCCCTTGTTGGGCTTGCTACTTAATGGGCCCATTATACGGGTCCATAACAAGGACCTTAATATAGAGGTGTTAAAATTCAAGTGTAGACATGATTTCTATGTGACGAGAAAGATAATTTTAAGGATCTTTCATAAGGTGAATGAATATAAGGTCGTTTGACCTGAAACTGGAGATGATTTAGAGTTATTGGTGTGAATGTCATGTTGGTAAAGCTGAAATTGATCCTCACCCATTACATAAACATATAAGACAAATCCATGAGAAATGCAAATTATGTAGAAACTATGTTGATTAAAGAAGTGTTTCATCGATCCCAGCACTTATAGCATGGTCTTTCACTATCAAATATGGGTGTTCGCGGTCTGGATTGGATTGGTTTTGAAAGTAAAAATCATCTGATCCAATCCCTTCGGTTTAATCATGTATTATCCATTCGGTTTGAATTTTTTTCAAATCTGATCTGATCCAATCTAATTTTATTCGGTTTAGATTGGATCGGTTTTTGATTTTTTGAAAAATCTAAGATTTGTATGAAGACCGTTATGCAAATAACATATGTTTTGTATGTATCAGCTTTGTAAAGTTTGTATAATGATTATTGTGCAATCTAGAAGCATTGTACAACAAAAAGTTGAATTACCATCTTTAACTCCAACAAAAAAATTATAATATTGTTTCCTGAGATACAA